GGAATTAAATCCCTCGATAAACGGCAAGAAAGCTTGCGGATAAATAGGATGAAAGACAAAAGATTTTGACAACAATGTTTAATTTATCAAAAAGATATAATTGATATTAAAGATTATTAATATTTCTGTTTTTATTATCAATTCGTACGTAGTTTTTTTTCAATTTCCGATATGCACATAAATGCAAAATAATATTAAAATTAATCGAATAAATTGATTCTTCGTCGTCGAGGAAACAAGGGTGTAATTTAATAAACGATCTTCATCCTCAATTGTTTTCCGCTTCGAAATTCTTTCTACTCGCGTACGGGACGATGGCAAACGAGCGATACAATTTATACAAATCGACGATGAATGCACGATGGCGCGACATCGTTTCCCATCTAGATCGTTATCGTTTTATCAAACGCCGGTTATTTTCTTCCCGTGTCGCGCGAGATTGAACAAATGTTGGCTCGAACGGGGTCGTTTCCATCGTTTCTGTTCATAAAGAACTTGACGCGAAATAACGGGGAATGTATTTCGGTTTTTCCTTCATGGTAACCGTGCCGAAATAAAGTTTAGCCGGCCTTTACGAGTGTAAAATAGATTGTCCTCGTTATTGTAGGCGATGCATCTCCATTAACGATGACACATTTCGACGACATGGCGAAAAACGCGGTGTTCAAATGCAACGTTGTTCCCTTTCTAAGTGCGCGAGTTGCAAAAAAGTAGGTCTCTGGCAGAGACATTGTCATTGAAAATATTATACGCAGTGAATGAAAAGAGAAAGAGAGAGAAAGAGAGAGAGAAATAGAAAGAGAAAGAGAGGGGAAGAGGAAGGAAGGAGGGAAGGGAGAAGGAGAGGAGAGGGAAAAAAAATGCTGAAGCTGAGGGGGATTTCGCAAGCGCGAATCCTTTGAGCATACAACAAAGAAGGGAAAAGAAAAATGAAGCACGAAAAGGGAAAGAAATAGAATAGATCGGGTAAACAGTAATTGAACCCTTTCTCGCATTATCTTTTTTTTTTCCTTCTCCTTTTTTCCTTTTCGTTCTAATTTATATTCCGCCCGACAAATTGCCTCGTACACTTGGAATAAAATTTCTCCGGTGCATCGACCTTTCTATTTCCGTTCCATCGCTAATAGAAAACGACACACGAGGAAATTCACAAGCTGGATCTATCCGTGCGCATTCACAATGCAATTAAATGTTAATCGGCTTTCGATCATTAATATTGGATCACGTGATTCTTTTAACGCGAAAAGAAAGGTAATCATAATATACAGGACGGAAGATCATCAACCCCGTACGAGGAGTTTCAAAGTTTCACGTAGTAAGGAAACGTAATACGTGTTTCAACCGCTAGCTAAATCACTCGCTACTTTCATTTCTTCCTTTTCAATAATGTGTCGTTGCTCTGGAAAGTCTTTCATTCTACGTTTCTCACAGGGGAGATGATACCTCCAACGATCCCATTGTAATATGTACGTGCTCTTTGTCGCGAAAACGGCAGGAATTCGCACTTTCGTGATCACGAATAAATTAACGCCGGCGCACGTCCGCGAATCTAAAGCTAGGAATCTGCTCTGCCTAAGAAAATATACCTGTCCCCATTTTCTTCACTTTCATTTTTATAATAACTCGAGAGACACACGTAATCAAAAGTGTCGTGAAAAAGCATTCCTTTTTATTAGTCTCGTTTCCCTCCAGACTTATTTGGATTTCGAGGTGACCCGAATAACCTGCACCCCTATCTGTTGTAAAAAATATACATCCTAAAAAATATACATTATGCGTATCCACCACGATCTTGTCCAAATCGTGTGGAGATACATATATATGCATATATCTACGAACGCGTTTTATGACACCTCATCGTCAATCTTTCGCGAGATCGATTCTCCGAGTTGTAGTTGTAAAGAAGACCCGGCCACGTTTCTCGTAGCATCATCGCGATTTATTTTTTAAATAAAATTGCAACTCAAGATCACCACCCACTTTACAATAAATAACACGTATATATTCTCGTTACATTCAAATTTGATCCGCGTAATCTCTAGAAGTGTAAATCCTCCGAGAATTTCCCCGTTAATCTTGTCCCGATTCTCTACTTCTCTATTTTCCCACTCAATTTGATCTTCGAATCGATAAAAAAAAAAAAGCACCGAACCTACGTAGTGACGATGAACTTGCTTAAATAATAAATTACGATCTGAAAATTCGTTGCGAAAATTCTCCATCCCCAACGATCTCTAACGATAAATCGTCAAGATGAAGCGAATTTCCAAAATGGTGTAACAGACGCGATCATTAACTTTATGGCATCCCGATCATTCGATACAAGCTTGGATCCGTCACTATCAACATTACCATAAATCAAATATCTGGTAAGTTATTACCTGTCTGATGGACTGACAGGCAAAGGAAGATCTAGGTGGAGCTTCGCCTGAGATCGTCCCTGTCAACCAACATATGCACGAGAACTCTACGTTCACCCTGTAGCATCTCGTAGCTACATCGGGTGGCCGGGCGAGCAAGAGGAGAAAGAGAGAGAGAGAGAGAGAGAGAGAGAGAGAGAGAGAGAGAGAGAGAGAGAGAGTCGAGTTGCGTGGTCGTGATGGTGGAGCGTTGGTGGAGGATACGAGGATGAGAAGGGATGGAGGAAGCGGTAGTAGGGGTTACGGTAGGTGAGCGGTAGAATCGGAGGCGGTGGGGGTCGATGGCGGTGGTTGAAGAAGGGAATGACCCCGTGCACCGGGGTCAACCATTGCACTATGCTCTCTCTTTCTATCTCTTTCTTTCTCTTCCTTCTCTTTTCACCCCCTTTCATCCTTTATCCTCTCGCTCGCTCTCTCTCTTTTTCTCTTTTTCTCCCTCTCTTTCTCTCTCGCTATTTCCTAGTCATAGACCGAACACTCATGCGCTTTGTTATCGGTGTATGTACCGACTGTACACCGTCGTACGAATGAACAACCTGAACACACGTACGCTGTGGTTCTGTACACGTGCGTCTACGTGCCTGGAAGAAGACTTCGAGCCCTACCGATATTTATGGTCAGATATGGGACAAAGATAAAAGAAGCATCGAGAATCACTTCCCGTTATTCGCTGGTCAATACGTCTTTAGCTTGTTTCGTTTCCCGGAAAAGGATCGTTGGAATCCATAGTGACCGTTCACGCATTGATTTTTCTATGTGAAACGCGGCTTCGGAATCGCAATTCGTATAGAGCCAGTCGATTATGAATAGGTGATATCGGTAGAAGATAGTATCTGACGGGATATAGTGGATATGTACGTAGATATGTTTGGGAAGATACATTGGAAGGTATCACTGGCGGTCAGTGATCGAGACTCGACCTAGAAATAAACCTCTAGTTTCTCAAGAAACTGTTCTCTTGGTTATACTATTCCTTTAAATCGTTCAATAGCCGGACTACGTGGAGCCGAATACAAAAGTCAGAATGAGAGGAAAATCCTTGGATACTTGGCCGCGGAGTTAATGCACTTATACTGATATATTAAGAATTGAAATTTCTTGAAATTTCGAAATAAGAATATAAACCGTTTTAGATTTAGCCGTTTCAAAATAAAAATTCCTAAGATACGTAAAAATAATGAATCTAAAAGAACGAGAAATTTTTTAATGGAAGAAGATAAAATGAAAAGAAATTTAGCTTTGTTGAAGATTAATTGAATATCGTTTAAGAAACATGAATAAATCAATTTCGTTATTTATATATCTATAAAAATGAAAAAAAGATTGGTCCGATAGCAATGAAATCAGATCGATTTTGAATCTTATTCTTTATTCTTTTTATTTTCATCTTCCAATTTTAGTTTTAAAAAATTTAAATATAATTTTAATAAAAAAAAATTTAATTATAAAATTAATTAATTAAAAAAAATTTTTTTCATTCTGTAGGAAAACTTGTTTTTTAAAACATAACTTTTAACTTTGATCATTTACATTATTTATATCGTATATATCATTATATAAATTTTATATACGAAAAATATAATATAAAATGAATAAAAAGATTTAATTAAGAATATAGATTAAATGACAGATACTCATTTCTTTTCCTTTCTTAATGTTTTTCTTTTATATTTTCTGCACTTATAATAATTCAAGAGTAAACTTAAAATCTTTGGAACAATAATTTCCCTTATTTTTCTGTATACTCGATAAAAATAAATATCCTGCATTTATATTCCAACTCAAAAAAAAAAGCAAAAAAAAGAAAAAAGGAAAAATTTAAGCGTATTTGTTCATTACACATGATTTAAGGAATAAAAATATAAATGGAAATAGGAAAGAAATACGCTTAAAATATTGTTTTGTGCTACACTTGAAATATAAAATATGTTAGGAAATGTCTTTAATTACTGGTATAGTGAACGATATCAATATTCATTAATTATATATTTCTATTTTCCATTTTATTTATATTTTTGTTATACATCTTGGAAAAATTTTTCTCCATAACTACTTCCTACCTCAAATGTTTCGCCGTTTCTACAAGTTTACCTTAAAAGAATTCGGTCTCCTCAAGCAGTTTATTCGTAAACAAAAAAAAAAAAAGTTTTAAATCTGATGAAGGCGCAGTAAAATATTCGGGTCGTTTCGAGGCAGCCATCCTTACAAGCTTGCTCTAACCTTACTTTATCGTTACCTCTATAGCTCTATTTCACGTTAATCCAGAGAATTTCAAATAAAATATTCTATGCTAAAATAATCCATTTAAAATATTAGAGTAATTTTTCTAATATAGAGATTTAAACAAAATAACAATGTAAAAAATAAATAAAATTTACTATCAATAGCATAAAAATATATATATATATAATTTTTAAGAAAATAGAGGTAAAAATGGAATATTAAAGTAAAAATGTCGCGAAACATAATGAAGCGAAATATTTTCTAAACAACATTCATCATCTTGTGCCGGCGTCTTGAAATACGCGAGAAAAAAATAAAAGTATAAAAAAATTTATAAAAAGAAGAAAAAAAACTTACCCGTGACGCTGAGCAGCGACATATTCGAAGTTGTTCTGTTAGATCGGTTTAATGCTGAGAGTTTCGTTTAATTGGCCAAGCAACACTTCATTGACGTGGAAATCTGTAGGAAAGTGATGCAGCTATATAACGAGACACGCCGGATCGAAGAAGCACACTCGCGTATACGACGTATAACCTCCTTTCCGCACCGATGTTATTATTTTCCTTTTTTTCTCGCACTGTGCGCCTAGTATCACGTACAACGTATGAATACGAGAAACACGTGTTTTATATATGCATATACACTCGTATATATATATATATATATATGTGTATATAATATGTATGCATATATATATATATTGATATATATATAAATATTACAGAGAAAGAAACAGAGAAAAAGAGATAGAGAAGGGGCGGGTGAGGCATACAGAGAGACAGCAGAGAAGGATACAATACGTATATGTGTGTCGCGATATGGCACTACAGGAATCGAAATTTCAAGGTAGAAGTACGAATGCAACGATCCGATATCACACTTCTCCTGTTCCTTTGTTCTCTATTTTCTCTTGTATTTCACCGTTTTTTTTCCTCATTCGCATGTGGCTATTCACACTATGTCTTTTCACTCGCAACGAATTTTTCTGTTCCACACCCGGCACGCATGTATCAACACAGCAAGGTTATCTTGGTTTTTATATTATATTCCGACGAGGCTCTGTCGCGCAACGCTTTTGTCGATTGTACACGAATGCCAACGAATTTGGACGTACTTGAAATTCGAATTTCAACCAATAACAAGTCTACAAATTTATAACTGCGTACGCGCACTATATGCTCGACAAATTTATTGTCACTAACATTCACGAAACACAAGATCACACGCCTATGTATGTACATGTACGTGTATATATATATATATATATGCACGTATATCTATATTTCGTTTAATTCCCCATTTTATGTAAGTCAGAAACTTTAGTCTCTGTTTAATGATCAGAACAACGATTAATGTGTTATTATTGCATTCGGCGTAAATTATATGCACGAGGGTTGTTCCGTTTCAGGTCGTAACCGTTACCATGCCGGGTATTGTATGAATCACAAACGCGATTACCATCGACACGGCGTAACAGCGAGTGGCTGTTGGTCACGCGGAAAATCGTGCTCGCGCGTTCTGGCGGTTAACACTGTTACTGTTCTCGCTCGCAAACACTATTACTCTCTTGTCATTTATCGGACATGCCACGTTTGCCACTTTGTCGTATTCCTTTTCGTCCTGTTGCTCCTTTGCTTTTGGCTCAGTCGATGCTAAGTCGAAGCACGTCAATTTCACTTGCGGTTCGTCGATCCTTACGAATAGTAATGACGAGTCGTCCTCGTGGTCGTCGATGAGTGTACGGCGATTTGACTTTAATAACGAGGCGGCGATCCCAACACGAGGATAGTAGTAATAATAGTAGTAGTAGTAGTAGTAATAGTACGGGAACGGCAACGCCAGCGCCAACGCGACGCAGCTGCTGGTCCTGTGCAGGTCGGTGGCTACGGTGTCGGTGTCGGTGTCGATGTTGTCATCTATCCGGTCGGAATAAGGCAGCATTGCCGTAGCACCGCGGGATGTTTGTTCGGACCGCTTTTGTGCACCGTAGGTTCGGCCGAGCGCCTCTCGTTTCAAGAGGAGCGCCCACCGTTCCACCTTTCTCGTTATTATCATAGTAGCAGGGGCTGCAGTGCATGCGCCGGTTTGCACGTATCCCGTGCTCGTCAAGGAACCGTACACCAACGACAGGCGCCACGTCCTCGTCGTCGTCTCGAGGCACGACCGGTTAAGGGCATTTCACACGATCACAGAGAAAAACGGGACGGATAGAGGGAACACGGATCAGGACCGAAAGAAACGAGTATACGCGCGTGTATATATATATATATATATTATATGTATATGTATAAGCAGATTTCGCAAGAAATTGGTGGACAAAAGGTGAGAAAAGAAAAGGATGTAAAACAAGAGAAAGAGAATGGAGGGAAAAGGAAAAAGGAAGAACGAAGGTGTAAAGGATATGGGGAAGGATAAATAACACACACCACGAATAAAATCAACGAGTACTATTCCAAACGGGACGATTCAGTTCACTAGTGCCTCTTTCTCTGTTTTGATCGCGACGTCCCGTCTTTACACGTTGTTTCTTTGATTGTTGATGATATTACGGTATGAAATACGATATTATACTGTGGCCACGGATGTGTGCGGTATTCCGGGTGCACTACCACATTAATGCGATGAAACGTTGTTGCGAACGTACGCGGACTGCTCGACGTCGAGCACTGTGCGGACGGAGACGCCTCCGACACGCCGCCGCCATCTTGCTACGTCAAGCAAATGACATAGCGCCGGCGTGGTATCGTCGGAAACCTACGAACGTCACCGACGTCGTACGATCGTTTCGACGAACGACCACGAATCAACCACCCTTTTCGACTGTTCTCGCGGAACTGTCGTGCATTTCGCTTCGATTGTTTTCTCATTTCTAATTCGACGTTTCTGTCGACGATTGCACGTTCGATTGATGTTCAGTCAACTTCCTTTTCAAATCTTTCTGGATATTTTATCGTTTCTTTTATCGTTTTGATTAAAATTTCTCTTCTTTTTTTTATTTTTATTTTTTTTATTGCTTGTGCAATGTATTACATGCAATGTATTATATGCATTCGCATATAACGTATTAATTATTTTGTGATAAATATCATGTCCTAAAGAGTTCAAATGTTTTTCGCGTATAAAACGTGATCGCATCTCAACATGATCTCAATATATGTGAGAAATTGATTAAGCATAATACAAGTACGAATTGAAAATCTGTATTTTTAATAAGTTTTTTCATTTTCTACTCAAATACGTTTATTTCTCAATTACAAACCAAAACTACTATTTCTTTTATTATATTTAATTATAAATTAATTATCTATTTTATCTATTAACTATTTTATCTATTATTAATTTTATCTATTAATTTTATATACTTAAATTGATCATCTTTTTTTATAGATATATCTGTATTAACTATATTTAGAAATATTAGATAAATATATTTTTATATTTAAAAAATTATTTTATTAAAATGATATTTAAATACATATATTTATAGATACATAATATTATTAGTATAACATTAATATTAATAAAATAATATTAACACTATAAACTTAAAATCGAAACTACGCATTTTAGGTTAGAAAATTGGTTCGTTTGAATGATTACACGTGAAGTCTTGTTTCTCGCGTGAGAAGCAACTATAATATAAAGTTGAACGAGCTAGAAGACATGCAATGTCTAAAATTTGCTGTTCTTGCGAATCACATCCGAAATAGAGCAACATATAACATTCGACTGACTAATAACATTCTCAATATAATCGTAGTTCAAAATATTTGAATAATAATATTTAATAATTTTTTTTCAATTAAGCGATGATATTTTTCAATTCTTTATAGAATCTGATTCAATTGATAATTTATAGGCAAAATTAAGCGAAACAATGATATGGAAGTATCAATAATGGGTTCATTACTCCCAAGCCAGCATCAAATGCTGACTTGTACCACTGGGAAATCGTTTCCCTTGTTCCATGATAATACTACTTGTTCACGTCCTCTATGCAGCAATACAATTGATATGGAGATATGTCTACATATTTCAAAAAATTTACTTAACTTTATTGAATTCTATATTCAATATTCGTAAATAAATAAATTTTAGAAATATTAAGATAATATATATATAATATAATAAAACTATAAAATTAATGAATTATAATAACAATTTGTTAAATAATTTTTTATTAAATAAATTAATATGATATAAAATATGATATAAAATAATATAAATTTAATAAAATTTTAATGTATAATATTTATAATATTAGTAAATAATTTAAATTATTATCTTTTAATATTTCTTCTCCTGTAATTCTTATAATTTTATATCTATAGATAATGATCATCCAACTAAATATGAATCGTACGAGCTCAGTATATAAATATATCAGAAGTTATATAACAGTTTTGTTGGACCGTGTAACTTGAACCGAGAAAAATATTTCTGAAAAGTAGCCGGTATTCGGTCGAGAGAAAGCGGAACTTTTGTAGCTCACTTTCAATGCGTTGTGTTAGTAGTCGTCTTACTCGTTTCAGGCATCACACGAAAACCATTTTACTTAAATCTTTTCTCAATTCCAGCTCAACATCTGATCATACGCCCACGTTTACCATTCTAAATGACGTAAGAATGACGTAATATACAAACGTTATTCCTGTCATTCCATATGCCTCTTAAAAACATTTTATTTCTATTTATCTCTTTTTTACGTCATTCATTATGCAGAATGATATGCATGATTACAAATATCCTATGTACATTAATATATGGTTTTTTATTCAAAAAAGATTTTTCAGATTTACTTTTTCTATTATATTTTTCTACTATAACGATAACATCAGAAAAGAACAATATAAAAATCGATAGATTAAATCAATACTTATATTAAAATGCAATTTAAGAATGTATTTTTTCTTTTTTTAATAAAATACAAGAAAAAATGATTATAGAGATATTAATAGAGATAATTTATAATTTAACTTACGTATTATATTATAACAAATTATAATTATAAGAAATTATTACACAAGAAATTTATTACACAAAGAAATTTATCAATATTCGAAACACATTCCAAGTAGTCTTCCATCAGACTAAAACTTGTGATAGAAACCGCACTTCGTTCATTTTCTTCATCTAACTTGACGAAACTTTGCCAACGAAGTTTCTTTTACTGATTTCCTTAGGTCCCATTGTGATACACTCTTCTTTACCTGAATGGATTATTCGAATCGTTATAGCCTTATTTAGTAATTTGTTAATGGCTATACGCAGCGTTCGATAATTCCTAAGATAGAACTGTTCTATACCTACAATAAAAAATTTAAAATTTCAATTGATTTCATAAAATTGAAATACGAAAAGATATGATAAGATGATGAAATTCAGACTAAAAATATTCGTCTAAAAAATATATGTCAATATGATTGTAATGATTAAATATAAATGCCCGCCCACATGCGGACAAATGTATGAGATGTGAGGATATCCGATAGCACTGATAAGAAAAGTTATTTATATATAGACATATTTAAATATAACCTTCGATAAACAAACTAAAATTCTATTTTAATAAAAAATGTTTCACAGACATTAAAAACAATGAATTAAAAAATTTTTAATTTTTTAATTTTTACAAGTAAAAAAAAAACATTGAGGTGATAGATAAATATGATAGATAGATCTAATAAATTGATAAACTAATAGAACTATAAAGAACTATAAAAAATGTCGAAATAAT